ATGCAGCACTTGTAATGCAGCACCTGTAATGCAGCACCTTATTTCGCTGATCCGGGGTTCCTCGTCGACCAGTGACAGTCTGTCGATCCTTGGCGCGCCGATTCCACTTCGCAGAAAGTTGATATTCCATGGCACGAAAGTTATGGCAGAACGTCGAAGCATGTGAGAAAGTCCTTCAGGTTCTAAAGGACTTTCCACGGATCTATCAAAGGATCCGAGACGAGGAGAGGGGTGTGTCGTCCTTCTCGTGTCGATTCTTGCGAGGAGTCGAAGGATCCCGCCGGGAATTTCTTTCTTTCCAGTCTCCAGTGCGAAAAGCGAATAGAAACCACCTGGGATATTTGTGTAATGGCTTGGAATGGCTTCAGGAGTCACACAGCAATTTATTATTAATTGATTTGCGCCAACGAAGCGATTCTCGCCGAGCCTCTCGCTGCCCGTGGCAGCGATCGAACTCCAATAAGACATGTCACGGCATATCACGGCATGTCACGGCATGTCACGGCATGTCACGATGAGGCGCGATATGTCATGTAATGTATATATATATATAAAGAGGAAATCTGTAGAGAAAACAGTTATCGCGGGAGCGTTCCTGTTTATCTAATCGCTCGGAGAAGAACGCGGGCGGAATGCGACGGAGCGCCTCCTCGTTCCACTCGGAGCGCCCCTCGCTCCACTTGTGGGATGTCGTCTGCTTTCGCAATGCTCCTGGGGATTTTCCTCCTCTTCGTCTCTCGCGCTCTGGCGCAAGAACGTGAGTTTCGGTTTTGCTCGAGGGTTTTGGTGGAAGGCGGCGCGAGAGCTTTGGTTTCATCCGGTCGAGGTCGGTCTGGGTCGGCCGTGACCTCCCTCGCGATGACCTCCCTCGCGATGACCTCCCTCGCGATGACCTCCCTCGCGATCTCCAGGATTTGTTTGGCTCGATCGCGTTTTCTTTATTTGGCTATCTTTCGTAGGTCGTTAGGCTTTGCTTTCGTGACTATTCGTGGTTCATAAACTCTGTGTCGACTTGTGTCGATTTTTGGCGAGCAAAAGGCGATCGCAGAAGGAAGTTATTTGAGAGCACGACGCTACGAAAATTGCGACCGGAATGAGTTCGTTTTCGCACCGGGGGTTGTTTTCAGGCTCACCCGATTCGACCTGCCCATTACTCCCCATTACTAGGCATTACTCGGCATTACTCGGCATCTGGTGGACCTTGAGCCTCGACGGAAAGCGTCGAGATGCAAGGTCGGACGTAAACTCGCGCGATATTGGCTCGAAAGCGTAATCCGCGACCGGAGGAGGGTCCCGCGTGACTCGCTCGACCCTCTGACGTCACTCCGTTGTGCCTTAGCCCAAGTAACACAGAATGTTGTCGCTACGTTGTCGATGTCAAGAGTGTCAACATTCTCTCAATGTTGATAGCTAATGTTGCAATGACATTCGTAGAACTGTCGCAGAAACATTCCAAGTGAAAACATTGAAGCAATGTTTTCTCAATGTTGTACAGCAACTTGCAACATAGAGCAACATAGGCAACATTTCGGAAACGTTTCATCAACATGCTGTGTTACTTGGGATAGTGGAAAATGGTTCTAGGCAGCATAAAACATTGACTAGTATCAGGTAACCCTTTCTTTATAGTTCAAGAGATACCGAGAGGTTCTAATGCGTCGTAATATAAAAAAGTTTTATAAGTGAGCTTAAAACCATTTCAAATGTTTGATCAAGTACTGGAAACTGCTTTGAAGACGTGAACCATCTAGAGGTTCTAGCCCCAACCTTATTTTTTATTAGAGCATAACTGCAACTGAAATTGGAATATTAGATAAGTTTTATTTATTATTATTCATTTCCCACAATTGAAACTCTAATCGATTTCATGGTATACCAATACGAGCTTGTGTATCAAATTTCATCTACATAGCCCAGTTCCTTCTCGGTCGTGCTTTTTTATTTTGCCGATGGGTATATATTACTTTACACGTGAGAATTGGGGACTGCATTGGACTCACCCCCAAACCTTCCCATATTTCTTTACGTTCCTCATCTCCCTCAGGAATTGTACCTGAAAGCACATACGGAATCAGGGAGAGAAATCCCTGCGAACTGTGGGAAATAAGAGATGGAATTCGCCTGACCTCCTTCCAGAAGTTCCAGAGATTCCCCACGATAGGATAAACAGGCTTCTCGGTCGGGATCCGCTGCTTCTTGAAGTAGTCGAACTGATCGGAGATCTTCCTGCCGGAGAAAGACAACAATAAAACGATATTAATATGTCAGGATGACAAGTCTGAGGCACATTCCTTGTGCAGTTTCACCATCAAAATTGTCTCATATTGGAAGACACGGAACAAGAATAATGTGCAGACCTTCGAGCTTTATGCTGCGTAATTCGTGTTCTTTGAACTTTCCCCTCTCGTGAAGGACGAGTGGAGCATTCCTATTCCTTCGCTGACGCTTATCAGCGTCAGCGAAGAAGTGAGTGACAGCCCCTTCGCTCCATCCATGGAGCGAGAGTGGCAGGACTCCTCCCTAACGGTATGAAACCCTGAATCCTTGATGCTTGGTACGAAACCAACACAGAAAGAGACTCGTTCAGCAAAATCTTTGAGAGGAGCGAGACGAAGCGAATAGAATGCTGACACTTTCTAATCTTGGGTCTTCTGCACATTAGTGTCATGAAAGTCGTTCATTCATTTTATAATCTCTTCGGCTTTTCGTGAAATCGACAAAATTCAATATTTCCTTATTGACTCTTGAAACGGACACCCTTAATAAATTTTAAATCGAGATTCATGGTTCCTTTATTCGAAGGGATGCCTATAGAAACGCGCAGAGAAATGCACGGAGCGCATGCGCATACGACCCGTGGTTCAAGGAAGCAGGATTTCAGACTTCATCTGGCATTCTGTCGCTTGTAAGAGGTTCAGAGATGACCTCAAACTACAAAAAATTGTTTTGAAAACTGTTTCAAACTCGTTTTGAACTCGCTCCGAATATAGTATTCAATTTTAGAGGTCGGGACATAGAATATATTTAATCGCACTCGAAAGAATCAACAAGCAAGTTACTAAAGTCCTAAAGGAAGCCAGGCGACTCAAATCCAATTCCGAGCGGCGTCTGGACGCGTTGAGATTATTCGACGGCGTGAAGGTTTCGAGTTTTATCTCAGCGTTCAACAGCATCGACGATACTGTATCGAAATCTGTAGAAGATGTCTCCTCCTCGACGATAACAGAAGGACCAGGCAGAACCAGTCCAGCTTGCGCAAGCCTCAAGTAAGACTAAAATTGCGAAATGAACCTACTGGTCAGGTGGAGAATGCATTGAGCTCGTTCGATGAAAGCGTATAGCCCTTGTCCTTGCCCTCATTAGTAACTGGTGGACGGGAAGAGAGAAGTGAGCAAGGCCGTATTTAGGGGGGGGGGGGGGGGGGGG